TTTTTTTTTTTTTTTTTTTTTCTTTTTCTTTTTCTTTTTCTTTTTTATAGGAAAAATGTGTTTCTTTTTCATAAATTTGATAATCTTAATTCTAAATTTTTTTAATTTAAATATTCTCAAAAAATTGGATGCCTCTTAAAAACTTCCATTATATTAATCATAAGACCATGGTTGAGCACATAAATAAATGGTGTTTGGAAACAAGGGGAAATAGCTGAGATTATAACTATAAATTAAGGTTATAATATATATTTGAATTAATATAATGAAATCAAGTTCCTCTTGCCAGCATCTCTTGAAGCCTCTTGAAAGATTCAAGCTTTTGCATGCGTATTTGTTTCCGGAACCTCTTTATGAACAAGTCTGCCGCCTCATCGATCTCTTCCTCCAGCTTGAACTCCTCTCCTTCTTCCTTGGAGTTCCTCATCATGTCAATAATCGAGCCACCAGCAGCCTGCAGCTTCGCATCGTCGATGTCATAGTCATCCTCTTCGTCAAACAGAGAGTGTGTCAGGTCAGGATACTTGTCATCCTCTTCCTCAGCCTTGGCTGCCATCGCCAAGCTCGCACTGGATTGATACTGGCTTGCTTGTGCGGCAGCGGCGTCATAGAGGACAATGGCCATGCTGTGGTTGTCTTGGGTGTCGTCGTCGTCGCAGTCGCCGTGGTGTTGGCCGAGAATGGTGTGGATCTTGTTAGAGAGGGAAGTGACGAGAAGTTTTTTGGTCTTGAGCATGGAGAGCATGAGGAGACGAGGTTTGGTGGGGCTGAATTTGGAGTTGATGGCCATGGACTTGGCCTTAGCTATGGCACCCAAAATGGAAGTGATTTTCTTCAACAGAAGGGACGCCTTGTTCTTCATCTTTGAGAAGAGTTGTGAGTGAGTGTGGCAGGAGAGAATTGCATGAACGTGTAATGCGTATATATGGGGAAATAGGGAAAGGAAAAGCAAAAGCAAAACCTTTTGTCCGCAGCACATGAGTGATTTGCGCGGTGAAAGAGAGCTTAAACTAAATGCTCATCAATCAAATGAGTTGTAGTTTGGAGTTGCCAACTTTGTCCCAACACAAATACTCTTGGCTATTACAAAAGCTACACTTGTCTACCATAACCTTACTTTTTTTATATGGTTTATTGTACAAAGCGTTCATTCATGCACAAAGAAGTGGGCATGCAATTGCAGGGAGGCCTCTTTTTCTATTGCCTTTATGTGAAAAGTGTGCGAAATCTACACATGATGGTCGGTGGCAGCTTTAATTGCATTGATTTGTTTGATTTCTCTTCACATCTCAAATAAATAATGGAAGTTTTAGTTGTTGAGCTTGGTTAGTTCGTATTATCCACCAAATGGGTGCACCATGGATAGTATTTAGAATCAAATTAGAAAAAGAGAAGAAATAAAGTGGAAGAGAAAAGTTTGATTTCTTCCTTAGCTGCTAAGCTAAGCTTTTGACCTTAGTGGAAGCATGACAGAAAGATTTTTAAGCTCCAAGAAAAAGGAATAAAAGAAAAGTTATAAAAAATATATTTTAGTCTTCAACGGAGATGTGCGCGTCTATAATATACTAGATTCCCTACTTTTAAATCCTAAATTAATTAACAAACTTCTGCTTTTGAAGTTACACTCAGTGGTTGTTAATGCACACCAAGACAAATAGAAACAGCTAGTTTACATTTAGTGGTTGTTGGTGTGGTACTTGCCACACACTCAGATGCATAGTCAAAGAGGAAAGAAGTATATCAATCTAAAAATTTGAGGAATGGGTAGAAGTTGTACCTTCAATGGAGTTGTAATGAGGTATTTATGTGAGGATGACTAAGGTTTCTCTCTTTTCAAAGTAAGGTTGGGTCGAGAATGAGTTAAACTTCCATACTAAATCAAACTTTGTTAACACAAAAATGTATTTCGGAACAAAATGTGTCAAACTATAAACTAGCCATTTGTGCTGCAAACTAGCTTAAATATGCCTCAAAGACATTTTATGACCTTAAGAAGAAAAAAAAAAGAAAAAAAAAAGACTAAACCAACACTCGTTTTACAACCTTAACGAACAAACATGCCTAAAGGAAACTATAGACATTATAGGAAATATACTTTACATGTCAACTAGACCTTCAACACGATACCGTGATCCATCCAAGAAAATAAACAAAAATTTGATCGTAGCTCAACTTTTTTCTTCACTATGTGCTTTCAATTTTGAGTTTACGGGTTTCTTGCTTTTATTGGGTACTCAGTGACCTATATAATCAAAATCGAACCAGTTCGGTTAAGTTCAAACTGTCTTCATCAGTTTCAGTCTCCATAACCAATAGATGAAAAAAAGTGATCAATTTATTGTGTTCAATCAAAAATTGAAGTTTTACAATCCTAGATGATCTCAATGACACTGAAAAGAGAGGGAGTTATCCATAAAGACCTTTCCTTGAAGAAAATTTCAGTTTCAATAAAAAACATGACTGAAGATAAACATCTTATAGCTTCCCATAATATATATATAAAGTCAGAGTGGCTATAATAATCCAATTCTATAGTTTATTCTATAAATCTAGATATAATTAGTTTGTGGATTATAAGGAGAATTGGTAAGGAACAACGGTATAGAGGCATCAGTCTATAATGATATTGTCTATGTGTATCCGTTGGGCCTTTCTCCGCTCTTTGCTGATCTCTTCTGCAAGTCGGCGTCATGATGTTGAAATGCAGCATCCAGAGCCTATAAACATGCATCACACACGCATATGCTCATTTTTCCATCCACCAACCTTACTCTATGGATAACAACAGAAAGAAAAGGTGCAAAAACAAGTACAAATTTCAGATGAGAACACGCTACGGACCTGATGCATTGGGCGAACTAGAAGAGATACTTGGTGGCGGAAATCTGCCTGCACGGTTTCCTTGATCTCCTATTTTCAATGAAAGTGGTGTCGTAAAACTATAATGATGCAAATTAATTAATCTATAGACAAGAGAATGGCAAAACCTACAGAAACGAACCTAACTTTAAAAGAGAATTTGAGTCAAACCACCAACAGAAGAATATTTGAAACGTAATATTAAAAAGGATAACATTACGTATCTCAAATAGACATAATAAATTATCAGATTTTATTGAGAAGTCATTTCAAGAAAAGAAAAACAATTTAGTTGAGGAGGAGACATTCAAAGAAGAAAAATACATTCAAGCTCAGACCATCTCGTTCCTGCAAATAATTTGCTAACTACCTACCTTATTTTTAATATTTTTTTTATATATAACAAGATCTAAAGTTGGAAAAAGAAAAATCAAGAGCGAGAAGAAAGAAATTTCACAAAACACTCCATATAAGTAACAACATTAAGCTAGCAGCCACAGATTAAAATAGTTTAAGATCGTGGCAAATATATATAGAGAGAGACCATATAACTGAATGTTCTGTTCAAAACATAAAAGATTGGGGGACGTTGGGCAGTCTTGTACCTCTAATTGTCGATAGATTTTTGACATGGCATCCTTTAATCTGCTCACCTGCATGGCAGTTAACACAACCAACTAAGAGTGCAGGCGATCCATACTAAATATGCAATATATAGCCAGTATAAATCATTTGATATGAGTTTTACTGTGATAAAATATACATCCTAGATTTTTTTCATTTATAAGAACAACGAATTCATGGTGACTACAAGCACATCAAATATTTTCCCCTCCTGGCAGAGAACAATCTATACCACATCTTAGCAGCAAGTAGCTTTCGGGCATATCAGTCTCCTAAGTGGACCAAGTTCCTTCTCAGATTTAAGTTTCAGCTTTTAAGAGTCCTTTCCTATGCAAAAATCTTCTTTAATTTGTCTGATTTTCCAAGCACGCAAGGGGGTCCTATCTTGTTTTCTTGTTCATTTGACAATTAAATCTAGTTGGATATTGGTGTTACAACTTGCATCTAATACAAATTTACAGAAGCTTCTTAAGAGAAAGAACCGTGAACGTCAACAACCCTTACAAACAAGTGTTCTTAACATATAGGCGTGTATGCGGTTTGGCTTGGCTCAGTTTGAGTTCTGAGCCAACGCGAAGCCACAAAAAATGAGAAAGAAAAAGAAGAAAAAAAAACCAAACTGAACCACCCATGGTGCATCACCGAACCAGTCCGAACTGATTAAGAGACAGGTCATTCAATTCAAGTTTTCCAGTTCGATGATTAGAGGCAGACATCATGAGAAGGGATGTGTGAATGGGCTCATTTACGTCGTTAGCCCACTAGTAGACCGCATGTCAGGTGTCACAATCATGCTTGTTCAAGGCTTGTTGCCTGTGGCTGCATGTCGGACCCGGTAATGCTTGTCTAGGACGTATTGTCCATGGTCACATGTCTGTTCCAAACCCCTTTTACTTGCTTTTATGTTAGATAGACCTTTATTATTATTGTCGTATCAATACTTGAGTGTATAACTGGTCACCAAAATCATGTCTACACTCGTTAAGGCTAAAATGTCCCAAAATGTACTATATGAGGATGTGATTAGTTGTCAATTCTTCCTACCTGGGTTATATATGCTATCAAAGGCATTGTTGTTGCCTACTTACTTTTAGCTTATAACATTGCTTTCTTTAAAATGTTTTTAACGTATTTTTCTTGCACACGTTTTCTATACATTTCTCTCAAACGTGACCCGAGAGCCGATATTGTTCGCAAAGTACGAATTTTACACGGATGACTTGTTCGTTGGTTTAGAACAAGTGCCACAAAATCATTGTTCCGTTGCCGCAAGAGTGCGATTGTGACACCAGGCCCTACATATGCTCGTGGATGTATAATAATCACAAACTTTTGGGGCAGATGGGCTTGAACGCACATCATGGTACATACAATGTTGTAGTTCAAGCCAAATAAAGCGCTTTAGTTATTTGGTAAGGAATTGATTCTTAATATATATCTATTACCAGCCGACTCGGGCTACAAGCAACCTGATCATGCCAAACTCAAAACCAACTAAATTTGGTCAGAACCAGTCTGAATCTGAACCGTCTGATTTTTTTCGGTCGCTTAAGCAGTATTTTTTATTTTACTGGTTTTACAGTTCTTCTTCTTCTTCTTCTTCTTCTTCCTTTTTTTTTTTTTTTTTTTTTTTT